TTTGGTTTTTTCCTGTTTTAATTCTGAATAAAAATAAACAGGGCTGCAGATCAGAAATACTAATTAGCAGATCTATTAGGACAGCCCTTCCTTCATCTCCATGGAGCAGTATTCATGGTAGAGGAGACTGGAAAGAAGATAATTTGCTGCAGGTCACACAAGGGGAAAGGGGCTGCATTGCCTGATGTTTACATCATGGTTCCTATCACTATAATTAGTCAGCACAGTCTATTTTTTCCATTAACATCCTCCCCAATACCCCAATAATTATTTTACATTGGCCAAATAATGTCCAAAGGCCAAGACAAAGAGCTCAGGGGGAAGCATTTCACCCCCTGGACACAATCTTCTTCCTGCTTACAGTTTGATGCTTGGTGTGACTAAAAAGATAAAAAGGAGGTTTTATTTATCTTTTATTTTCTTCATTTCCTACTTTCCCACTGAGGAAAATATTATCTCACAGAGCTGTTATTTTCTCTTAGCAACAATATTGCTAACATGTTTTGTTGGTCCATGTTCTGAATTTCTCTTCCTCTTTCTTCCTGCTATTTATAGCAATGAAGTGGGATCTTCAGGTTGCAGAAGTTCATCTGGTTGAGCTGTAGCCTCTTAATCCTTACTTTCCTATGAAATAACTAGTATTCCACTTGTAGCCAATTCTGCTGCTGCTAAACAAGCACAAAACAATCTCAGCTGCATGTAAGAGCCAGTAATCTCAGTGGAAACCCCTTTAGCTGCTTCCTCTCCTGTCCAAAGTTAAACTTGAGACCATTTTACATCAGGAGGGCAAAGAGAGATTAAATTCCTTTAACTCAAAGGAGGAAGAAGGAGAGTACCTAACAACTGACATAATAAGGTTAAATAAATAGTAAATAACAGTAAGTAAATAAAAAGTAAATAACAGGGATGGCAAAAGACATTCCATACTTCATGCCCAGCAATGATTCTTACTGTACTGGCAGATGATTGCCATGAATGGCATCTATTGTGAAATCACAACTGCTTCAAAATAAAGTGATAGCTTTTATTTTTTCTGACTTCATTCACATGAACTTCCAAGTTGAATTAAGGACTCTCATAGGACAATGTGATTTAATGTGGGATTTATATTTCTTCCCTACCTTGTTAAAAATAAGTAAATGTCCCAGAAGACTGCATAACTAATGCTTTTCTTGAGAATATATAAAGTAGATTCAAGCAAAAATGTTGGCTTAGCCAGATTACTCTTAAATGTTATTTTCCCCTGTGATGTAAAATATTGAATGTACATGCAAGCTGGGGAATTCAATGTAGCTGTTGAGGAACTTAGTTAATAAACTATTATGGTCAAAGTTAATGCAACTAAAAACTGATATTTTGCGCTGTAACTGGGATTCAGTTATGTTAGAGGTGTATATTAAGGCATAAAACTTGGCAGAATGCAAAATAATTTGTACGGTGGGGCTGAATTACAGTTTTTATCGTAAAAATAACTTTCATATTTTTAAGATGTCAATGATTTTAAATGTGCTGATTCAATAATTTCCACTGGAAAAGTGCCATTGATTTTAGGGACTATGCCAAGTGGATGCAAAAGTTCAGGAATCAAAGGAAGAACAAACAAAACCAGGAGATTTTAAAGTGACACAGAAACCCTTTTCAAGAAATATTAATGGCAAGTTAAAACAAAGGTATCATGTCTTTTAGAACTGTTTATAACAGAAGATCCTTAGTCATGGAGTTTGTCTGGACAATAATGTTGATGCTGAAATGTAAGACTGCTTTTATTCACTGTGTGGTCGTTGGTCCAAGCCCTTATTCACTGTGTGGTCGTTGATCCAAGCCCTGGGACCAGGTGCATGGCCAAGCCCCAGGTAGCACAGGGAGGCACTATAACCAGACCAGCTGTCACTATCACCCAAGTTCTTACTCCTCTTTCTGTTTATTGGAACACAAACAGGAGTTATTGATGGGAGTCCCTCCCTCTGGTGTAAACTATGAATACTGACAAACAAATATTTAAAAAATCTTATTATAATGGATATAAATTTGCTTCAGTCATTACATCTGGCTGTTGGAGTTCATGTCATCTCAATGAAGGGATGTATTTTTCCTCCACTCAGCAACAAAGTAGTGCTTATCAAATGCTGATAAAAGGAAGGTTTGAATTGAGGTACCATACTTCGACCTCAGCAACTGGGGTAAACATGAATTGTAATAGTGTTATCTAAAAAAAAAGTTTGTACCAGGAGTAGACTGCAATTGGTATTTCTGTGGTGGCAATGGGGTCAGACCTAGCTAGGATTCTGTAACTTGATCATGTTTTCAAGAATTCACAAAGAAGTAAAGAACTTGATTGTGTGAACCTCAAAACATACACATACAGTGTTTACATGATGTTGTGATTTAGGAATGGTATTCTCCAATTTAGTTTTCTACCACTCCAAGCACTGCTTGCTCACTTCCCCTTCCACCTCCCCCTCCCCTGCAGTGAGATGGAGAGGACAATGGGAGACACAAAATGTAAAAATTGTGGGTTGAGATAACAACAATTTACTGGAAACAACAATGAGGTCAGAAAAGAAAACTAATGACAGAAGATAGAAGAAAAGAAGTGCTATTGCTCACCATGGAAACCCCCAACAACAGACAGTACCTGACTGCTCCCTCTGCCATGCTACTCACTCTGCTCCCTCCAGCTTGAAACTGGCCTTACCCCACTGCTCCCTCCACACTTACTCCACTGGAAGGAACTTTCTCTCCAGAGAAAATTTAGTGTTGCTGGTTTGGGGTTGGGTGGTTTTTATAATTACTGTAATTACTGTTTCTAGGGCATGCACTCCTGGAAGATGAAAATAAGGTCTGGCATCTAGTCCGGCCAGTGGATGAAATGGATGAAGGTAAATCAAAGCGGGGCAGTGTGAAAGAAAAAGAGAGGACCAAAGCTATAACAGAAATCTACCTGACCAGACTTCTTTCTGTGAAGGTAAGGTTCAGATGTGCTGTAGTTACACCTTATTTCTACAGATTTTGAGATACAACTGAGGAAATAGATGCAAATATCAGTCATGAGTTTGGCTGCGATTTGGAATATGTGTCATGTACATACAAGCCAGTGTTCAAGGTGTTCAAGGCTTCAAGTAATTAATATGCCCTGAGGAACATTACTGGGAAAGTGATAAAGTACAGCTCCTGATCAAAGCTGAGAACCATGATTACGCGATCGTTAAAGAAGGATTTTCCTTGCAAGACAAAGATGGATATTCTGCTCTGTGTTGCCTGTTTAGATAATACTTTGTTGGGTTTTCTTTTGAACCGAATGCTTTATAAACTTCTACAGAGCCTTATATTTCCCTGTTCTGGCATGTGATCAATTTTCCAGTTAAACTCCCAAAAAAGTTTCCAAATAATAATAGTCCTTTTAGAATATTTTAATATTTTATTATTTTAGAGTGCCTGTACTGAAGATCTGATAATGAGCAAAATAATTTTTTGATACATTTCTCCTTATAGAAAGAATTTAGAATAATGTATTTAATATAATATATATAATGCATTTAATACAATACACTGTATTTAATGGCCACAAAGCCAGGCTTCTTTTGTGAAAATTAAGTCAGTCTGGCTCCAGCTAAGGCCACTTGTCCGAGCATGGAAGTGGATATAAAGGAAACTCTTCGGATGGGTGACGTAGACTTATGATGAAGAGCCAAAAAGATGCTTGCATCCCTTTTTTCTGTTAATAAAGCCACTGTTTTGTATTCCCAATATCCATTTTATAGATTATTACCAGTCTGGAGCTTTACTGACTCATAAAGTGTTGGTGAGGTGTTACAGCTGAGGTCACAGCTACCCCTTCAACCTGGGACTTGTGTGTTCTGGCTGACAGTAGAATGTCTTAGAGCTCCTTGCCATCTGGGTCCCTTCCCTGTTTGGAGGCTGTCAGCTGGAGTCATGGTTGGAAAGAGGACACAGCCCTTCAAATGTGTCTGTAGAGCAAATCAGTTGACTGGGGATGAATTCTATGTAGCCTCAACAGGGTCCTCCCCAAAACAAAGGGACAGTCTCTGAGGTTGCCATTACTAAGATCCAGGGAGATGCAGGAATCCAAGAGCCCAGCCCTTCTGGACACTTCATTCCTTGGGTTCCATGGATCTCATGAAGCTGACTCAGACTGGGTGTCTGATAAGACCCATGTGCTTGCCCTTAAACAAAAAGGGCAAATGCTCACTGGTACTTCTTCCTCTCAGACTCTTTCTAAATATTGCAGTGCTCTGGTGTGAGAGAAACTGGATGTGGGAGGCTGCAAAACCATTAAAAAGTGGCAAAAAATTATTTATGTGCACAACCCTAAATGGGTAAATGTAGCAACCAATTTCTGCTTCTTCTGTCAAGCAGAAGGCACGCCTTTCTGTGCAAACCATAGGACCTCTGGTGAGGTCACAACCTCTGAGTCTAGAACATAAAATTGTGCTCTAGAAGGTCTTTACTGTGTTGGCAGTTTACAAAGTCACTGCTCTAAGAAATTGTTTGCTTTTTGTCACTCCTAGCACTCAGAATAAAGGCCATCAGTGACGCAGCTGGATTATGTGCATAGGAATGAAAGATGCTGAGTTTAGCTTGTAGCACGAATGTAACCAATTTTTTAAAATTTGCTTTTAGGGGACGCTTCAGCAGTTTGTAGATGACTTCTTTCATAGTGTGCTCAACTCAAACCATGTGGTGCCACCAGCTGTGAAGTACTTCTTTGACTTTCTTGATGAGCAAGCAGAAAAACACGACATCAAGGATGAAGATACCATTCACATCTGGAAAACGAACAGGTACAGTATGAGCAGAGTCATACTTGTATTACAGAGAAATAAGAGTATAATACCCAGGTATATACTAGCACTCTTAACACAAATCAAAGTAAATTTCATTTATAATCCTCAGAATCATTTTACTTGAGATAATATGTTTGTGTGATGAAAAAGATTCCCTGTAAGCCTAGAAGCAGCAAAAAATTAATCCGGTTTACCTATGGGATTGTCACTGGCAGATTTACCATGTTTTACTTTTTGTCTTTCCTCAGAGAAGAGGAAAGCAAGAGGCAAATGGGACTAGATTTACCTGTCAAATCACAAAATCTAACACATGCTACCTGATAGTTTCTCGATCACACATGCATCCTTCCTTGCTCTTTTGGGGTACTCAAGATCCTTCTCATGTGAGTTTTTCTGAGAAATGTAAAGAGATGGTTTTCAGGCATGGAACCCAGACAAGCTCGTATAAATGTTGAAATATAAAATTAAACATCACTATTATGAGGAGAGCAAAATGCAAAGCCCATACTCAATTCCATGTGATTTTCTTGTTGTAGAATATTTATTGTGTAAAAAGGATTATTTATCTTTTTCCTTGTTTTGCAGCTTGCCTCTTAGATTCTGGGTAAACATACTGAAAAATCCTCATTTCATCTTTGATGTTCACGTTCATGAAGTAGTGGATGCTTCCTTGTCAGTCATTGCACAGACTTTCATGGATGCTTGCACAAGAACAGAGCACAAATTAAGCAGAGTAAGTAATTTGCATTCTACATCCTGACTGTGCTCATGCCTGATGAGACAAAGGGCATCCTCACAGACAATACCCATTCTCTGAGGAGATACAGCCTTGATCGTTTCTTTTTAGTTTTATAATGAAGTTAACATTTCACCACTTAACAGGTTGGTGAACTGTCAGTATTTCTGTGTAGTCTGACAATTGATACTATTGAAAAAAGGAGAAAATAGCAACTGCTTTTATGAAAAGCATGTTTAAGAACTGATTATGTCAGGTTCACCATATAGTTTACTATCACCTTGAATAGATACATTTGTAAAACTCAGCAGTAATGCCATGTGTAAACATCATCTTTTTATTAAATAATCCCACCAATGTTAATAAGTATCCTAATGTTAATAGCTGTAAAACTCACATGTATGTGAATATAAAGGCTTAATCTTACATTCTTGACTTTCTTTTGCTTCCTAGAAATGTTCATAAGTAACATTTTTCTGTATTCTAAATTTTTCAGGATTCTCCAAGTAATAAATTACTTTATGCGAAAGAAATCTCTAACTATAAGAAAATGGTGGAAGAGTAAGTATCAACTCCTTTCATGGTTATTCAGTTGTTAAGATTTTAAGCCTGTGTAAGAGGAAAATGGAAGGCTGATATAGTCAAAGTCAGCTGTCAGATATTAATAATTTTACACCCAAATGTTTAAAGATCCCCATGGTGGTGGCATTGGCAGAGTTGAAATGGAGCTCCATTATGACCCAGTGTATATTCTTGTCTATACAGACAGATGAATAGATTTATTCAGGAGAAAATATGGTGCTGTTTTCTGCAGTCATACTTGCTACCCACACGATCTAGATTGCTGCACTTCCGTAACTCAGTAGAGACCAAGTCCTGAATACATTTTCAGAAACATATTTTTTCTATTCTGTCTGACTTTATTCATTTACTAATTGGAAATTCTGTTAATATCATGGAAGAGCTGCCACAGAACAAAACTCTTGCCAGTTTTAAGACCTAAAATAATCATTATCTGCAATTATAGATTTTTTTCCTGTGGTACATTCCTGTACAATCAGGTATGATTTGCCTCTACTGCAAAAGTGCTAATGTTGGAGGGCAGGATTATTGAGGAAGCATTGGTCTGTTGTGGTAGAATATCTCCTGTGTTAGCAAGGAAACATGTTTGAAATAATGGCAGAATTACCAGACAGACGTCCTTTCTTTTACCTAACTGAAAATCTTTCTAAATCTCTTGCAGTTACTACAAAGGTATTCGTCAGATGGTGCCAGTGAGTGACCAAGACATGAATACCCATCTAGCAGAAATTTCTAGGGTAAGAATATAATCCATTTTCTTGCTGAGAAATTGGAGCCAAGTGTAGCACTGGTTTTTGTTGTCTTATCTTTCTATCTCAACAAATGGGGTTTTTTGTGTGTGCAAATATCAGATGAGTTATTTCATAAATCTCTGAAATACTCCTAGTTGTGCCTGTTAGACCTTTGAAATGTTGATTATTGAATGGAATCAAGAATCCTTAATGTCACTAATCTATCTGAGTTATGCAGGGAATAGAGCACAGCGTTTGGATTTTTCACATCCATTGTGGAAAAATTATAGCACTCTTGAACTGTGCTTTCTCTCTACAGCATATAGAGGATTTTTAGCATTATCATTTATTGTTTATCATACTGATAATGAGTAGAGATTGAATTCACAGTGCTACCACTGGAAAAATTAGATTCCAGAAACTAAATATGAGGTGTATATTTTGAGTGTAGCATATTTTAGAACTGTCTATACAGGGACACCGTTTCTGCTTTATGCTACATGGGAGAAGTTCATCATGTGTTTGCTCAGTGGCAGTTTTTGCATTGTAGGTTATTTGGAAAGGGCAGAGTGGGGTGGTTGCTATCTGGGACTGCAATTGGAGATGAGTGGAACAGTCATTACAAAACTTGCTTCAGTCTTGAAAGAGCCTGTCTGTTCTGCAGCTCAGCTCAAGCAGGCTCTTGCCTTTGTAGCACTCTATTTAACTTGGAGAACCAGGAGAGGCCCTCACCAGTCCTAAAGATGTTGTTTAGCTTGAGCAAGAAGGCAGTGTGCTTACCAGCTGGTTTGCTCATTCGCTTAATTTAGTTGAAGAGTTCTAGCGTAAGGAGGATGTTTGGGGAATTTTTTGTGGTTTGTTTATTTCAGTACCCTTAGGACCTAACATTTTGCAGATCAACATCCTCATGAGAGCATTTCTATTTTCAGTCATTCACTACAAAACTCATCTGCAGTGACATTTCATTTTACAGTTCACTTTATTTATTACATAAATTGAGATGCATATAAAATTAGAACACTTGGTGATTAAAAGTAAATTCAATATAATATTTTAACACCAGCAGGATCTGTTCTTCCTTTCTATTTTCATTATAAATTATGATAAGAATTAATATGGAAGGAGTGATTGAACACTGCAAATTTTGACCAGCTCTAGAAGTGACTTTTATAGAGCAAGGGAAGATGGATGTTTCTCTGCTGCTTTATCCCTTGGGTAATCATTTATGCCAGTAGCAATATTTTGCAATTCTTCATTTTCTTAACTAACTTAAAAGACTAAAGGCGTAACTAGAGACTCGAATCCTACACATTTGAATGAAGAACATCTGTTCAGACAGGTAGAGCACATTCACTAAATAAGTCATATGCGTGGGGGCAGGGGGAAGATGAGGTAATGGAAGGGTTATTTCCTGCTTCATTTGAAGTCTTTTCTCTCTCTCTCCCTCTCTCTCTCTCTTCTCACCATACACCCCTACACCTTTCTATCTTCCTGATGCAGGTGGCTTTTTCCAAATGTACGTGTGCTCATGATATTGATGAATTTCACCTTTGCTGTAGTGGGGTGCAAATAATTTCCAGGCCGTAAAAAGAGCTGGAGAAAGGATTTCAAACACCCGTGATGACTGTGTCAGACCCAATGCTTAATATCTCAACAATATGTAGATTGTACTGAGTAAATACTTAAGCTTTTCACACCCATGCTGTTAACAGATGTTTGAGCTGTAGCCTGTGGTTTGATGTTCAGAGTTCAAAATATCTTCCATCTCCAATGTTAAGAGTTGTGGGCAGGCTGGAAAATTACCAGAGGGAAAGTCTTGGAGTAAAAAACACCAAACAAAAGTTTTATCACTCCTTTTCTCTGCCCCAAGTGTCATTTAACAAAATTAAACACAGAGCTTGCATTTGGAAATCTTGTCAATTGTACCCAACAGTTGTGCATGTGCATAACTTTCAGCTGTATGTGATCCTATATTGACATGTTTGCTGCCTGCTTGTGTTAACAGGCACATACTGATTCCTTAAACACGCTTGTGGCTCTACACCAACTCTACCAGTACACTAACAAATACTATGATGAGGTAAGTTTTGGCTTTTGTCTTCATGCTTTAATATCAATGGTAAAATATTATGAAGGCTAACATTAGTCTAAAGGAGTGACTTTTGGATTTCACTGACTGATCAGGTAAAAGCAATGCTGAACAAAAACCTTGCAGTTATATACCCTGCTTGGCAATGATGCTGGTCAAGAGAATGTCCTTATAAATGAACAATTTCATTATGGCTATCTGGTTTTGGTAGCTATAGTTTAACAAGCTCTGAAAGAGAAATAGATTTTAAAATCATTTCTCTTCAGTTCTACCATCCTAATAAGTATATAAGAACGCCACCAAGCAAAAAGTCGTGTTATATCAAGTTTCAAGACAGTGTGCTTTTTATTAGGAACAATCCGTTAAACCTGTTTCGTTTGTAGGAATTGGAGCCATGTCCTTTTTATTAGTTCAAATTAAAAGCTCTTTAAACTTCCATGCATGATACCATCCCTGTTTTGCCATGCCAAGTGAAGTGCCTGCCTAAGGTAAACCAAAGTAGAATGACTGTTGAATGTAGCCTGATTCAAAAGCAGGCTCACAGCTTCAGTTTAAAAAGTTTTTTAGGTTTTTCACACCCTGTGGAAAGGGGGACAAAGAATATCCCAGAATAGTTGGGCTGTGGCTATGGCTCTCCAAACTTAATCTGAAAACAAAAAGAGAGAAGGAAACTTTTATTCAAAGGTTTCCATGGAAATGAATGCCTCCAGAGAACTCTCAGAATTAAAGCAAGTAAGAACAGATGCCGAATCAAAAAGGAGCACAGCACATGTGAGCTTTATTCGGTTAGTCTTGCACCTCTCAGCACAGTTGATGTTTTCACTTACATTTAGCACTAAAGACAGTGAGTCACATCCTTCACTGCAGCTGCTTTATACAGGAGCAGCCAGCCTGTTGCAGCTTTTAAGCAGATGCAAGCAGGGAAAATCAAATCACCCTGAGAAGTCTTGCAGTGATGGCCAGTGGGAGAAACAGACAGAGGAATGTAGGCCAACCCCTTGGCACTCCCTCACCCCTCATCCCCAGTGCTAAGCTGGCTTTCAGCACCTTCCCAAATGTGTCCATCATTTGACCTCTTACACAAACACCCGGGGACCCTGAATGACAGATGAACTGAAAATCCCTGATTCGTCCACACCTCAGGCAGAGTCACCAGCCTGTGGGACTTCATCAGTGGCTCTTCCCTTCCATGTACATCACTGTGTAACAATGAGGTGCATCTGATGAAAAGGCTGCTAATCCAGAATTGTGGAGATATTCTGTCAAGAACCATCCAGTAAAATTAATCAAGCCTATTTATTTTCCATGAAAATGTTTTAATTTGCATAAATTGGAACATTTTGCAGCTGCCCTTGTCTTTATTACTGACACAGTAGTTCCCAGCATGTGCTGTACCTTCTGCATCTCTGCAGGGCTTGACAATGACTGAATGGGTACATTCTAATTGTCCACATTTATATGAAGGATATATTCACCAGTAGAGATAATCATTAATTATTTAGTCTAGATTTGAGGAGTTACAGCTAGATATAATTGTTTAAATTAAGGAAACAATATAAAATTAAATTAGGCCCAGTTTAAATACTGCAATAAGTGTTTATTGAGTCTGTCTAGTAAAAATACATTCACACTTTAAAAACAAATTCATTAAAATAATTATTTCTAAACAAATTTGCTCCAGTTTTGGAATGCAAACGCTATACCAGCCCTTCAAAGTGAAATTATTGGCTAGATTGATTCTGACTGCATTAATCTCCATTATCAGTGATGTTCAAGAAGTAATAAGAACCACAGGTAGTGACAGGCAAATTCCATTTTTCCAGTCCTTGTACTTGCAAGTTTCTATAGTATTTAAACAGTGCTAAAGGTTTCTGCTTGATTACACTGTCAGACTTATATTAATAAAGCCAGTTCTAGAAAAGGAATGGTTTTGTCATGTAACACATTTTTCTAATGGAGAAATCTAATAGCTGGTGGGAAAGTTTTCCTAAAGGATGGTGAAAATGAAAATCTTTCAAAACCTTTTGAATTTGATCTGGGAAGCCCTAAAAAACTCTATTTGAAGAAAAGCCTTCTCATAACAGCTGACCTTTACTGGCTCTGGTTTTCAAATCCCTTGTGTCTTAAGAATCATATCCTCTTATATATATTCTGTACAGCAGAAGCTGCAGGATGCTGGGGGCTCCTCTGAGGAGCTCTTTGCTTTCCTGAACTATGTTGTGCTGGGCCAGAGTCTTGGTACTTCTTGGCAAGAGCCAAAAGGGAGCTGCTGGCTTTATTCCTCATATTGCGTACAGACACAGGAGACCTTGCGCTGTCCTACCATATGCCTCTGCATGGACCACCCAGGAGCTTCTCATAACTAAAGCTCATGGGGGTGGGATATAATTACTGATGGTAAATGACCCTTAAGCCTTGTAGGGTGCACTGTAAGTAAAAGCACTGTTTCTTAAATAGCTCTAAGGAAATTCTTCCCCTGCCTGCTCCATTTTGGAATGTAATATTTTACAAGATAAAGTACTACCTGTTAATTTGCTTGTATCACAACATAATGGGAAACATTACAGCAACTTAGATAAAGTAACAGAGACAATCATTTTTACTGTCTTTGTGAAAAATTAGAACATGGGGCCTAATAGATGGACTTTGGTACAGAGTGAAAACAAAAGACTCTTTAAAACCAAAGTAGTATCAAACACTTGGTCTCAGAACTATGTCATACATTTTAAGCTAAATTATTCTAAACTTTCTGTGTTTATATCTTCCAGATTATAAATGCACTTGAAGAGGATCCAGCTGCACAAAAAATGCAGCTTGCCTTCCGTTTACAGCAAATAGCAGCTGCGCTAGAGAATAAAGTGACTGACCTTTGACTCAAAAGCCGCAATAAAGAAATCTGATCTGAAGATGTTCAAATTCATTCTTCCTGTTAAGGAAATAGTGTTCTATTTTTTAATGTATAATTACAACTTTAAATGAAAGATTTCATGGTTTTTTGATAGCAGAGGTGTAATGTAAAGAATTTTTACTGTAAATTATGCTTCTAATTAAAAGCTGTGTTGTGTGTAAATGAATCTTCTGTGGGAAAGAGAGTCCTTTGGTTGGGGGCAGGGTGGGGGGTGGAAGAAGAAAAACCTATAGTTCTTTTGATTTAGTAGAATCTGAGACATCAGCATTTAGGATTCATTATGCAAGTAAATTCAATATTATAGCATCCTTTCTACCTTAAGCAATATTTGTACTAGGAAAACAATAACATACTCAGAGACACATGCAATATCCCCTTTTATTTTGATAACTGGAAATTGACTTCCATAGAGCTCTGAAGTTTGGTCTGTGCTTATAATGAACATAGTGAATAAAGCATCCAATTTCTCTGCAAGATGTAAAAATGAGTTTTGCTACCACACATGGTTCTAAATTTAATTCTTTATCTCAATGGTGATGCACAGTATTGCACCCACCACAGTTGACTGTGAGAGAAATAAGAGTAATGTGTAGAAGAGTTCTACTGATGAAGTCTTGTTCGGTTCAGAAGTCACTGCAAAGAAGGAATTAGTCCTTAAAACTTTAAAACTCTTTGTTATTATTGTGAGTTTTATGATATATGCTAATGTGCCTTACTTGTACTAATTCTGTGAATCTGATGAATGGTTTTGTAAAAAGAAGCAGATCAGAAAAATAAGTATTTATGTGCTATTGAATGACTTTTGTGTGAAAAACATGACCAGCAGAATGCTTGTAATTAGCTGCTTGCCGAGAGTGTGCTGTTTAACATGATTTGATTATGTATAATATCCTATTTTAGAATGGTTCTGATGATTTTTTATTTGAATCTTGGAACTATCCTAGAAATACCATCACTTGTTTTTATTGTATCTGTGATGTAAAATACTAGTATGATATTGGAAAAATCATATACCCATCTATTGAAAACCACTCGGTCAGTTTTGAGCCTTGGAATGCTGCATTTGATTGAATACACACTATAATCCATAGCAAAGAAAATTGAAATAACTTGTCAGAAAGTGTGTGTTTACAATATAGGTAAGCTTCGTACAAATCAAAAAGTTAGGTACGTCTTCTTAAATTGCTGTATTGCACATCAGAGAACTTTACTTCTCTTTGTCTTGCAAGTTTTTGGCAGTAAAGTAGCATTTTAATGAAGTGCTGCCATCTGTACTCCTTCATTCATTGTCCTGCCAAGCACTGGGACTCTGCTGACTCTCAGCAAGCTAATGCAGTGTCTGCCGCCCGCTCTCCCTGCCTGGTAGGTTGTCACACACTGACTTTTACTGTCTGTTGGTATTTTTTTTTTCTCCCATTTTGAAATTTTCCTGGTATTTGTCAGTGGGCCTTTCCTTCGGTTTCTGAAAATCAAAAGCCTCACCAGAACTGGTTTCCTGCCCAGTAGGCTGTGAGTGGTTTTTTTTGGTTTTTTGTACTCGACTTCTTGCATTTGTCTATAATCATTCCTGAACCTGCCTGGGCTGTAAGTTATTTTATACTGTTTAGGACTGAGCTATATGACTTCTACAGGAAGGTGCTTTGCCAGTTATTCTGTCATCAACAAAGACATCCTAATTTCATGGCTAATCTGTTTCTTTTTCATTATTTGTAAATCCTGTTAATTGTAAATCAAATACAATGTTGTTTTTTTCCACCAAGTGTCAGCGGATCTTTACTGAAACTGGGGGGATGGGTGTTGAGAGGATCTGTAATGCTTCCTCCGGGAGTGATGGAGCAGCAGCGTCCATCAGTCTGTGGTTGGGAATGGAGGAGTGCGGCACATCCTGCAGATGGAATGCCTGACATCATGCCCTTTTTATTGGCATTTGCTCTGAAAAATGACAGTACTCTGGAGAAGCAAGGATGTAGTGCAAAATACCAGAGTGAGCTCTTGCCTGATGTATCTTGGGACTTGAAAACCAATTAAAATACAGGTTCAGCAGCATCTCTCCAGAGAGACCAGAAAGCCCTGCTTGAGCAAATAGGGCTTTCAGAGGGAACATTATATGTCCCCCATCAGCAGTGACTTGACACAGAGCAGTTGCAGGCTGCAGCTGTGGGATGCAGCAGTGCTCTATCCGGATCCTACCTGTGAGGCCACATGAGACACGTGTCTGCTGGCATGTGCGAGTTCATGATGGATCCATCAGTCATTCTTGGTACCCTTTTCTCACATCCTGGGAAATTTGAGGGCTATTGGTGCTGCAGTGCTGCCTGCCAGGAACACAGAGGCAGATAACTGTGAGCAACTGCACAGCTACAAAGAAACCTAATGCCAGTTCTTCAATTTCTTCAAGTTCCCTATCCTGAAAGCCCAAAGTTGAAATTTAAATTGAAGAACTGAGCTCGTTTATTTTATTATTTCCCCTTTAGGCTAAGGTCCTCCATTGCTTGTTTTTCCCCTCTGGTGCTCTTTTGTCCAGGCCTAGTTTTTGGTTCCAGTTTTCATTACATTTTAGCAATCTGATTCTTCAAACCTTCGTTCTCGTCATTTGTTTTCTGCTGCTCCTGACATCTGGTTCATCTACAAGATAAAAGCTCACTGGGGGTCTTGCTCCTTTTCACCCCTTCTGCAGCTCCTCTAAGGGGTACTTCTTAAAGCATAAGAACCTTCTTTCTCCCAAATAGGAATCACTTTACTCCATAGCAGCAGCTGTGAGCAAAGTCACTTTGCGTGGACATCTCTGAGACCTAGATCAGAGGCTGATACAGGCATTTGACCACTGCCAGCAGGTCTCAATCTCATTACTGACAGCAGTCTCTCCGAGGTTTTGCTTGCCTCCTCACCATGCCAAATAGAGATGTCTTATGATGGGACAAGGTCCCTGCACCTGCTTGTTTGAAATGTAGTAACTCACCCAACTGAACAGGAATGGGGTTTTTTTTGTCTCTGACCAGAAATTCACTGTCTATTCCTTAGTGCCAGGTTTCCCTCTGACCCCTTACTTGATCTTTTTGCTGCTCTCACAAAGCTATCTCACCTCAGCTGTCTCACATATGTGAGGCATTCATAATGTCTCCTGAAGATGACTTCTCTGTTACACCCTACTTGACCCTCTCCCTTCTGCACCCTGCTGTGTTGGACACATTTCTTAGCCCGCTGAGTCTGAACTGTATTTACACGCACTCTAAAGTTGGCCTTTCTGGTAACCTTTTGAAAATAAACAGAGCCATCACTATAAACAAAACCATACAGGGAATTCAGAAATTCCAACTGGAATTCACAAAATCACAAACTGTCATAACATGGGAAGATTTTTAGTCAGCTGCATAATGACTTAAAATGGCTCTGAGCTTGAAATTCAGCTGTCCTGGACTTACCAGCACTGATGAGTTTTTGTGACCAGTACTTCATTGCTCCAGATTCTCCAGCCCTATCAGTAGATATGTACCTACATGGCCTAAAAAAACCCAATCTCTGAATCTGATAGGAAAACTCCTCATTTACATGCTTCATAGAGTTCAAATGCCTCTATTTAGCCTGATAATGGTTCTAGTCAGGGTTCCCATATGCACTTAAGCATGTGGTGTAACAGTTCTCTGAGGAGTTCCTTTCTAAAGAATTTGATCTTGAGCAAAGATTCCTTAAGACTTTTCCCAAGTCTGTTGTCCTTTCTTAGAAAAAACTTACAGGGGAAATTGTTTCAGGTTTTTTTTTCCTTTTTATCTCTGTCTAGAGATACCATTCAGAGCAGTGAGACAGTCATCTTCAGAGCTTTAAAGGAGAATGTCTACCTGCCATTTTTCTACCAACCATTGACTTGAGTCCTGTGTTATTCTGCCTTACACTCAGATAAGTTGAAATTTGGCACTTTGAGTCAATAGAGTTGATGCACTGGAAATGTAAGCACTGTTGCCCTTGTGACTTGCTTTTATCCCTCATTCCAAGCTCAGTACAATCAAACTCTGTACCTGAAGCATTCCATGTTCTCCATCACACAAAGTTCTTCTCTTGGTTGTCTGTTTTGCCAGATCTGCCTGGAGCACAGGATTCCCTGAAGAATGAATGACAGCAGAACACAAGCTATAATGATCAGTGGTTTTTATTTCTCAGACTCTACATACTTAGTCTGTGGGGTTTTTTTTATTTTGAAAAACCTTCCTTCAGTTGATGCTGAGTTTGAAAGGTGGAATTGTAAACTAGAGTTGGTCTTTTAGCCTCCCTCTTTTGTTAGCCTTTGTCTTGATGGGGCCCAAAAATGATGGTGGAATTCTTGGTGTTTGACAGTTCCTGCAGAACAGAAGGAAAAGAGACTTTCCAGAACCACAGTTACAAGGAAGCTTTCAAAGGTTTAGTTTTCTTTAAATTATGTCCCCTTTTGCCTCAATATCAAGGAACATTCCTCCATCCATTAGAGAAGAAAGTGGTTTCCCCTGAGCAGGCTTGTAATAACCATCTATGCTGTGAAAGATCACTGCTGTTGTACCAGACAGTCAGGGCTGACTTCTGTCTTGCCGATGCATACTGCTTGCTGCTGCATGTCATTACCAAAGGGGACAAATCCTACTGTCATTCATAGCCAGGCCATCAAAAGCTATTTCATTTACTCATGTATTCCTGTTTCTTTGCTGCTTCTCAGATAATTGCCATTTGAACCAGAAGAGAGTTTGAGTGCTTTCCTTCTTTTTTTAAGCTTTTAAAGAACCTATGTGTCTTACCAGATTGGACACTTTAGAAAGAAACTATTTCTTCAGTGGGACAGAGGACAATAGATCTCATACAGCTGTATATGGCTCATCTTAAAAGGAAATAAAAATCCCACCATGAACCCCACACTGTGTTTTTGAAATCCTTTATTCAGTGCTCTAATTCTGAACAATGTTTTTGGCTTATTTAATTGTCCTCAAAATTGAATGTTGAACAAAACTCACTTTTTTCTTTTAATCTACTGTAATAAGAAAGGAGTGAAATGAAAAAATGTATTCCTTTGATTCCCTTAATCTTTTCTCTCCTGTGGCTATGCTCCTATTCAGTAAGAGATCATACTTGCTAGTTGCAGAGCCTGGACGCCAATTCATGGGATTTAAAACAAACCCAAATCCATGTTTCCTGCAGCTACATCTAGGTCCATGGCAGTGCTCACAATTGTGAAACTGCCTCCAGGATGTTATTTGGAATACTATTATCGTGAGTCTGGCTGCTGTCCTCATCTTCCTTCACGTGATCCTTCTTCGTGTGGGTTTTTACCTTGTGTTTCAGTGGCACTTTCTGAACGTCAATGCTACATTCCTCTGAAAGGAAGGAAACAATCACTGCCTGGATTAATCATGCACTTTTCATCCCCAAAGCACCCCATGGGCACTCAGACCCTCCCAGGCTCAGCACACTGGAAAATTATAGAAGTGGATTTTTTTGTGCTAGAGCAGACAGCCTTACTGAAACACAAAACATTTCTATCTTTCTAAGGTAAAACACACTTGTTTTGTTAATAATGTACCCTACACATACATTACTATTCACTTCTGATGTGCATACATTGACCTCTGATGTATCAGTGGCCTTTTGGCGACTTTTGGCCTAGGTTGGTCTGAACTCCACCTAAAGTCTGCAGCACTCTACCCTAGACTGGAGGCTGCACTATGCTAGCCCTCAACTAGAAAGTGACATGGATATTAACATCATTTTACCTTTAAACAAGGCTAGATTCACACAGCTCACTTGCTTGGTGTGGATCTTTAGCCTCATTGCTTCTTTCAATGGACTAAAGTTTGTCTTGTGAGGCTGCTATACAGTTATGATATCCAAAAGTCCCATAATGAGGCCTTAATGTCCAGCAAAGGGAATAGAAAGACCGCCATCATTTTCAGCAGCAGCAGTTTCTTCTGCTCAGCTCTCAATGTATATTCCACCCTTTATTTTAACGTGGCCTTATTTTGTTTCCTTGTGCACTTGAAGCCGTGACAATCCTCTATTTGTATTCTGGCACATTACTGCTGGAGATGAGATCATCCATCTAGGTTTTGTGTTATTTTGGAGCTACAGGTTTGGTATGTAATAGGGTCATGCCCTGGTGTGCTTAGTCCTCTTACAATAATATTCGATAGAGAGCTGTGTCAAGTTATGGCTTTGCTGGCTGTGTGTGAAGATTCATATGCTGATTGCTTTGACCTGCCTATCTATAGTAAGAGCCTGCAACTGCCCAAGGATCATCACAGCTTTTGATTTAAGTTATGGTTGTGATTTTATCTTTCTTTTCAGCGAAAGGAAGATTAGAAATGTTTTGTTTGCCATTTAACTGGAAAAAGTTAATGGTTTAGCTTCATTTCTTTAAGAAAATAGGAAGAAAGGGGAGGTGACGTCCTTTTTCTGTCAGGTGGTTTTGTACTATTCTTTTCTTAAGTTAACAAAGACAGTGACGACAAAGAACACTTGAGCACTGCTGTCACTGACATAAGTTCCTTTGTGGTTAATCATTCATGTGAACTAGCAGGGCAAGTGTTTTAATACAGAACTTAAATTTAATTTCAATCTGTGCTGTCCATCATTGTCTCTCTTTAGCTGATTTTTGAGATGACAGCACACACAATGTATCTAAGATTAGATTCTGGCTTTAAATATTTAGAGTCTGAATCACATCTATTTGTACTTCATTCCAAGGTTGAAGTAATGTGGCAGGACACACACTCTGCAGTAGTTAAAACAAATCAAAGGAGTGCTGAATTATTAATTTTAAACTTTTAACCAATTCCTCTTTGTGGGCCTGCACCCATGTGCTTCTTGGGGTGAGCTGGGGATTGCCAGCTGGGCTGGAGGCTCTGCCCTGCACACAGTGCCCTTGTGCTGGTCTGCCTGCCAAGGCCATTTCCCCACCTGCTGGGCTAGCTGAGGGCTGTTTGTGCTAATGGCTCCTGTTCTAATGGCTCCTAGGCTCTAGACCAAGGTATGGGTCTAGAGACATGAGTGACTTACAGAGCCAGTTATAAGGAGCACCCAGATGAAACATAGCTTATTGAAATACTAATTTGGAATACAGAAAGTCAAAACAATGCAGAGCAATGCTAAGAGGAATAAACAAACCTCAAAAGCCAGAATCAGCTCTGAACTCCAGAGGTATAAAGAGAACCTAATGTAAAAATCCTGTTAGAAACAACCCAGTTCACACTCACTCTGCAGTTACCAACAGCTCTGGGAAACACTAGATTGTATTAGAAAGCCTGCGGTGCATAAGTAGAAGAATACATCTATGAAGTACCTGCACTTATAAAGCTCTTACCATTGTGGTGCTCCTGCAGAAGTGTTGAACAAGAACATGCTAAAATTTTAAGTAAATATGTTACCTGCCCTCTTTCTCTTTTTTTCCTAAAGTAATGAGACCTTTTTAGCTTCCCTGATGAATGGCTGCACAACAGATGTGTATCATATTCATAGTCACACTATGCTCCACAAGAGATGAATGTTATAGTGATTTTTTTCCAAACTTCCCAGTGACTGTCCTCTGTTTACAAGTTTTTCCACAGATGCTGATGTTCCACTGTTATTCCAGCAATGTATAGCTGGGCTTTGTTATGGGCTATCTGCAAGAAAAGAAACCAAACCCAGATATCAGCATTCCTTGATAACAAACTCAGATACTTTAATTTTTGTGCCACTTCTCCATAATTGTTTCTGCTTGGTTTTTTTGTTTTGTTTTGTTTTGTTTTTACAGCAGGAAATTCCTTTACTAAGGACATTCTAGCCTTGCAATCCAGAGTATCTTCTTTCTCTAAATGGAGTTGAATTCTGTTCTCATTAGAACTACTGGGTATTTTTCTCAGATCTAAAATTCAAGAATGTGACACAGACACAGTTATCATATCACACAACAGCTATCAGCCATATCACCCATGCCTGTAATGAGAAAATAAATACACCCAAATTACTAAGCAATAAAGAAACTGGTGAATGGATGGGACCAGGTCCATCTGCATTCACTTTTCAACATGGTCTTGTGTATTAACATAGCAGGAGCTTTGATCTGGTTATTACTATGCTGCAGATGTTGCCCCTGCTCACCCTGGATCTAATGAAGCATACCAGGGGTCCCTAGTCATTTAAATGGACTCTGAATCTCTCCTGCAATCTCTAGGAGATTTACTCTAAAATCAATTCTGTTTGCTCTAAAATCAATACAGCTAGTGCTTTAACATGATCAGCACAAGAGAGGAAACTGGAGGTGGATGCAGGTGGCTGAGGTGGCGAGAGAAGGGAACGAAGCAGACCGTTTATCAGCTTGATACCGTTGTCCAAGTGCCTGTTCTGCACACAGAAGGTTGGCAATCCCTGAGCCTGGCAATTAGACATCAAGATTATCATACAGAATGACTCCTGTCTTCATCTAAAAACCTTGAAATGTTTTACAAATGATAATTAAGCTCTGTGAGGTTGTATCCTGCTCCTGGTGATGCAACAAAAAACAAAAAAGTAAAAAATTAAGGCAAAACCTACTCACCTTAAGTTAGAGCACAAGTCAATTGCATGGCTGGGAATAAAACATGAGATTCCAGATCCTTGGATCCTAAATCTAACCTGCTGGCATACTACATACAGAAAAATTAAAATTTATCCAGCTAAATTGCCATCTCCATGCTACAATTTTCCATGGCTTTGTAGAGGAAAAAAAAATTCACACACGAAAGAAAAACTCCTGTCTGTGCTTAAATATATAGCTTTTTGTTGAAAAGAAGTCCACCCAAGTTGCAGTCTGCAAACCAGGGAGATTTAGTATCTATGAAAAGGATATGCGAGGCCTGGTTTTCAGCGTTTCTCAGCATGTCGGTACAGTGTAACTCTGCCAGCCTGTAGCAAGCTAAAGAGTGTAACTTTGTCACCACCTACACTTGCCTAAAGTGTTGTGCACATACACCTATAGGTGAAGTGTGTATTCCCAGAGGACAGCCAGCTGGACATGACCACCTGTGGCACAGAACTTGCTTTTGCCAGGAGACAAATGCAGCTATTCTGTGGTCACATCCACAGCCCCACTGCAGCCCCCAGGGCTCTGGCTGTGCTCCTCTTTAAGCTGATATTTAACCTGGGCATCCCTGCCTGAACTGCAGAAGTCATACCTCTCTTTCTACCTCACCAAGCACACAATGATGCGTAAACAGATCCTTGATCCTCACAAACAGGGGTCCTGTGCATGCCCCAGCTATGAGCAAAGCCCTGCAGGACTCACAGTGCCACCTCAGGGAGAGAGCAAAGAACTTGTGCCCTGTGCCCCTCTCCCAGACCATTTACAGGCTCACTGGGCTGGCATCAGCTCCAGCTTGCATGGCCCTGACAGAACTCATGGCCACACACCACAGTCCAGGCTGAGCACTGCCACACTCCAGGATGTGGCAGCAGGGAAACCTGTGTTCCCTCTCCTGGGACAGTCCCTGTCTCACAGGCCAGCTGAGCACACCAAAGAGATACCCAGGCAGCAAGGCAAGCCTCACCCCAGCTCACAGCACCAAACTGGTGTTGAGAACATCAAACCGGTTTTCTCAAGCTGAGTTAAATATTGCCGTGGTGCAAAACTGATTATGACTGGATAAATATTTCCACACAGGCATGATGACAGGAATGAGTGAAGATGACTGGTCCTTCTGGATTTGGTTTGGGGGATTTTTTGGGAGGAGAAAGCATTTGGTTGAGCTGAATGAAACAGAAGATATTATAAAAATACAACATAAGTGATACAAAGAATTATATGGTATTTTAAAGATTATTTTTTTTCTTTTTCAAATTATGTAAAATGCCATTTAACTGGAGTAAGGAAATTTGATTTTACAGATACTTATATATACATGTAACTATATATGTGAGGAGGGAGTGTTGTATAACCACATTTAACTATACCACATGCCTTTAATAAAACTTTCCTGTGGGAAAGTCTTAGAGATTTTTAATCCAGGCAGCTAACCATAAAGTTTTCTCCTTAACAGTAAATTATGACAATTGCCCAAGGCTTTAACATCCCTGCATTTTGCTCTCTGCTTTGAATTAGATTGTGATGATCAATATTAATAGTCTCTGCTCAGATATGGTCATTGCAAAACCAAGATGAAACTGTCTTTGCCTCTGAATTTCACTGCAAATGTGAACATTCATCAATACTTACTCAAGATATAAATGATAAAGAGAACAGCTATATCATGAAAGAAAGAGCTTAGTTAAAATTTAACCTCCGTGCCACACATCTAGAATATTTTCCAGAAGCAACTGTAGATAGTGGTATTGCAGGAAAGACAGCAAAACCTATGAATATTTGTGTTCAGCATAAAACTTGTCCACTCCTAACTGTTCTGTGGAGTAAGAAGGCATAAAATTTTCTTTGTGTGATCACAGCTTTTTCACACTAGCTCTCAGACATACTCATAGCAGCTTTTTG